CAAGAGTTGATTGAACTGAAACCATACAAATTACAAAGCCATTACAAAACGAGTTATGAGGTAGTCGGCGCAGTTCGGTTTGGTGGGGCATCTACGGTTTCTGTCAATCGCTGTTGATACTTCCTGTGGAGACCTGTACATTCCTGTTAAGGAATGCATAGCATGACAGTTGACAAGACTCTACAGGTCTAACCAAGGCAAGAGTGTGATTCAGCAGACAGCACAGGAAGCGAGAAAGCCCCCCCCTTGGCCAGACAGCGCCAAAAAATCTTTTGGAGAGTAGCAGAACTCTTGAACGAAGTGTCCGTCCTATAAATCCACAAATTGTTTCACCAAGAAGTCCTTTTTCGGTCGGGCCCTTAGCCCCACCCCGATCCTCACTTCTTTTGAATATGTTTATATGTGTTTCTGCATGTATACGCTCACCGACCGACACCTTTCTGACGCCCTTCGATTACAGCGAAGCTCCTCCCACCGACGAGATAGCTCCGCCCCCATTTACATGACATTGTTGTAGGGCGTGTACGATGACACAAGGTGGAACAAAATATAATGCACTATTATAGCAAAACTTCGGTTCCCGTGCATTGTCTAATCAGTCAAGCATCACAATTTTCTCATTACAGTATGGATGCCGCTGTTATTGATCGAGTAGTCAAAATACCAGATGTAGCAGCTACTGCCGCTATGCGGATACTTCGCGAGCAGGTAGGAGATTTATAAATGTTTATTGTTTTCAGGCTGATATTTAACTGTTAGCGGGTCTCACTTATGGCCAATATTCTACTACTTTCAATATAATTGTCCAGGTGTGACAAGGTTTAATGTTTTTAGGGTGCATCCGGTGGTACCAGCAGTGGAGTGAACCTACTCACGTCGATGCATATTGCGGCGACAGCGGTGTAAGTGAGCGAAAACAATCTTTAGACCGAAATATGGGCAGGGTAGGAGTAGTGGGGGGGAGGGCAGCCAGTAGCAAATCTAGACCAAGCCCGCTTTTTCGCCCGCCCGTGCCCTCTCGAGGAGAAAAGTTCGGCCAGATAAATTGGGTTTAATGGTCAATGAACGGCATCAATAAGCAGATAAAATAGGTGCTGGTCCACTTTTGCCTGCTGCCTCTGGCTCTCAAATACCTTATGGTTGCTCCAGGGGCATTATCAGGTTAATCATCTCAGTAGACTACTGCTGTAACATCCGTTGAGCCAGAGGTGTATGACCGGCCTGACGTGGTACGTAGGAAGCGAAGTCTTGAATCTTAGCCACCCGACAAGTGGCGGTAGACACTATCTGCCAGCACGTCGTGATTACGTGGGTCTCAGAGGGGTGCTTGCTCGGTCGCTGGGAGGGAGGAGGGGGGGGGACAGTTTTTGCTAGGGAGAGACTTCTCTGATTAAAGATCAAAAATCATGTAAACAGACTGTACTCAGTAATAACGAGCAAGCTGAACCAATACGAGAACTGCTTTACAGGAAGCCACAAAAGTCTCGACTAACTATCACGACCTTGTTGGCGGATCCTGGCCATTACTACGATTCAACATACTATAACAGAGAATGGATTGCACGGAAGTTTGCACGACATGGAGGATTAGAGGTGCAATTTGGCCTTGCTAGAGATTCGAACAATTCGATAACAAATCTTTTATCAACAATCTCAACAATTCAACATTCAGGCTTACGACTGTTGGTACACTGTGATCGCCGAGAGTCTTTCATCGGGTGATGATCCATTATTGCTTGGATATGATCGATGTCCTAATGGATTATTGCCTTAGTGACTCAATCAGGGGTTCAATCGATACAATTCTAGTCATTAATAAGGTTTATAAATGTTTAAAATTGTTGTAAATTTTACTAAGATTTTAGAATGAGCTTATCGTAGAGTAACAGAATTATGAGAACTTTCGATTTTCAAGGGCATATTCCGCGATAATCCGATGGAAGGAAACTCACAACCGATCTTTTCTCACTGGATCGCTCCTCTTCTTCTCCATATCAGACGGAGGAGCGCATCAATAAGGAAACCACAAATGGTTATGAGTCTCCGCCCATAAAGTTATCACGGAATGTGTCCTTCAACAATAACGGCTCTCATGCAATCAATAAGTCAACAATGAACAATCAAATCAAACATTACCTAGAAGGAAATTCTAGAGCAGCAATAACTAGGTAACAAATATTCATATTTTTCTTAACATGGCAGTCCTAGTGCTACTGCAGTTGGGAGATGACAGCGACAAAATCCGCTCTTGACCCCACGCGGAGTCTGTGCCAAGATCTGAGGCGCTGTTCGGCTCGGAAGGGGTATTCCGCACTTTCGTTCGTTTCTTTGGCTAATTCGAATCCCACATCACACCTTGGTGAGACCTTATAAACTTGTTATAAACGACGTTCCTACAACTGATCGGAGGGAAACATTAAAATGCCCACACCAAGCCGAACTGCGCCGAGATCGAGTCTGCAGAAGGAAAGAGGATTTTTCGAGCCACCGCAAGATCCTTCAACTACAGTAGCGCCGCAGTCACCCTCTGGTACAATGAATAATAAAAAGTTATCTTACTGCTGTAAGAATCCAGGTAGAAAGGAATAGCTGAGGTTAAAACGAGGTTAAGACCTCCACGAAAGTTACTTTAGTATGCTCATTCATCTGATTCTTGCCTGCTTTTCTTACTCTTCTTCTTTCTTT